TTTTGGGGCAGGCCATCAAAATATTTGTTTGGACCACCGAATTGTTTTTTGTTAGTAGCCATGAGCCAGTAGTGACAAATGAAAGTGTAAAATGGTGCATTCATAAGCTCACTTCGTGGCCATAACTATAGTCCTGATTACCATGTTCATTTTGGTATTTGTTTATTTTACAGTTGCGGATAAAGCCAGAGAAGAATTCCGAGTTGAAGATGCAAGATATAATAAAATAAACACTGAAATCACTGACCTTGAAAAAGTGCTGTCCTTGGATCTTGGCGGTGACAATGAATTTTATTTCTTAGAAGGAAAATGTTTTGAGTACCACGATAAGGAGTAAGTTGTGAGCATCCTCGTATCGAAGCATTATTGACATTTGATTTGCTTCTAAAGCTGCCAAAGTAATCAAAATGGTAGGAGTAAGGATCGTTAATCTTCTAACATTGATTTTTAAAAGCAAGGCCGAAAAGATGTGGTGTTTGCTGAAATTGATTTTGACATAGGGCTGTAAAATCAGAAGAACAAGCCCGCCCTCCAGTGATCAATAATGGAAATGTTTGCCAAATGCATGACTGACCATTGTTAGAATAGTACAATGATATTGAATTTCTTCCACTTAGAATGTTGATGTCTTTCTATAGTTTATGGCACAATGTTTATATTGTCCACCATGTTGACTTTGTGTAATGTTTATTGACTTTGTTGTGTTTTTTTTTACAGGTACACATACAAGTTTTGTCCGTTTGAAAAAGTTTCACAAAAAAAATCTGGCAAAGAGACGTCATTAGGGTAAGTAGTAATAATCAGTGTTGAAATCAGGACACTGTTCTGTGAGAATATCCTACAAATAGTAGAATAACTGCACTGTCTGCACTACAGTTTTGACACCAACACATAGTTCTGCACTGAAAGTTGAACTCTTTACATTTTATCTATAGCAGGAACTAAGCATTATGAAATGGAACATAGATGTGGTCAACTAACACAGGGCAATAAGCAAACTAACAGTCATTATTTTACTGGCCAGCCCCAAAATTCACTAGACAGTGCCAATTAATTTTTACGTGGTATTTTGTATTACTTTCTTTGACAATATTAGTCACTCTGTCTCTCAAACTGGTTCCATTTTCTTATCCAAAAAGATTTCATTATTGTCAAACTGTCCATGCGATTCACAATGACTTGTGAAAGACTATGACCAACTATGGTCCTGAAAATTTCAAAATTACCATAGATTAGCATAATGATTAGTCTATTTTCAGCTTTTCCACCGATATCTCAAGTACTAATCCAATGAAACTTAGTAAATGGATGCTCTAAGACAATGCACAGACCATTTGCATAATAATTAGTCAGTTTTCAGCTTTTCTGGCAATATCTCAAGTGCTTATTTTATTTTTAGGAATCTTGCTACATGAATACATTGTAACAATTTAATGTGATTTAATGTTTTGGGTTTATATACATCTATAATAATTACCTAATTTGCATAATATAATAAGCCAAATTTAAGTATTTTCACTTGTCACACATATACTATTCAGCATATTTCAATGAAACATGGTACATAGTTGTCTGGGATAATGCACAAACCTGATTAGTTTTAGGTTGAGATCAATGTGATATGTCTAATGTTTCAGATGATTATATGGTCATGTGACCTCAATAATATGCATAACTGTAATAGGGTCATGCAAATGGTGCTATTATTTTGTTGTCTGACAAGATATATGACCGACATATCAAGTCATCTTATATGGTCATTATTTCATTAAATATTTATAATTGTTAAACCATAGCTACTTGGAACCCCCATGATCATTGCTTGCAGTTATATTTTTAAATTTGGTGTATTTGCTCTGTCTTAAGCACATGGGATTAATGTAAATATATAGTAAACACAGTATTCTTTGTTATAACTTCACGCCTACAATACCTTCAGCACACAGGAGTTCATTCTAAGCTTTCTTTGATTTAGCTCTGTTCTGTCATCGACAATGAGTATAAAAAGATAACCGAGCTGTTCATATACATTTGTCAATCTATTTTTACTGCTCTTTGAAAACTATCAACCCACTTACTTTAATATTTGATATGTAGGTACCTTGGATGGATTCAGATTTTTTCATTTTGTGACAATATCCTCAATATTCTATTTTTAACAAATATTTGTCCTATTTGGTAGAAATTCTATTTTCGACTATTTCTTGGAAAATACCAGCTAAATTGCTTTAATACTTGGTATGTAAGCACCATGGGTGGAAGTCTCTGAGATAAAAACAATTGTACTTGCCATAACAACAACCATATAAACTATCATGGTTGTGATATCTAGCAAGAATGTTGTGTAAACAATAACCATGGCAAGTACAGAACATTATCAAATTATTTTTAAAGACGACACACTACTCAGGCAGCTGGGCTATTTTGACCAGGAGGGCTGTCGTTTAATTTAATTTTCATTTTTGTGTAATTTCAGGAAATGGAAAGGTTGGGAGGGTCCAGAGGGTAACAAATATTCCAAGATGAAGTATGATGGTGGTGAGAGGTGTTGGAATGGACCTGACAGATCTACTTTGGTAAGAATTTGTTCATATAGTTTGGACACTGTTATTTGGTGTTAATAATATTGAAGACATTAAGGAGGTTTGAGCTGAATCAAAAATTGTATTTTATGTTTACCATACCATCATTATCATGGGGTTCATTAGGTTGCTGAAAATGAAAAACAAAATGGAGTCACCTGATAATACTTAAGTCTGACATGTCATTGAAACTGGTCAAAATTGTAATTTTTACTCTGGTTTCTATGGTGAGATTGTTTATTCATATCTCAAAAATTTTGCTTGATGACAGGGGATGAATCCTACCGGTAATATCGTTAATACTTTTTAAAGGTTGACATAGTTTCCAGGATGTAAAATTCTCTCCCATAATGCATTGCATATATGTGCAGTAACATGCTCAGTAGTATATATGGCTACTTTAGACACATGTTGGCAGATTGCTATCCCGGGTGTTTATACATTAGACATGTTAGGTCAAAATAATAGACAGACAGAGTGTATATTAAAGCGAGAGAGTCGTCACCTGCGCATGCATCAGATGGCCATAGTGTGTCATTGTTTACAAACGAGCATCAACCCATGA